CCGGCCTGTTTGCCCTCTGTCCCTGCTCTGATTCTGCGTTCGCTTTCTCCCGACAATCAACGTCATCTCTTTCCACCTGCTGTGGGTTTTTTTTCCCCCTCTAATGAAAGGACGGTGTCTCTAGCTGAATTTGCAAAGGCCACGCAGTGACCACGACCGGTCACAAAAGACATCGGAAGTCAACAGCACCAAAGGGCTGCGCACAGCAGGCAAGGCTCCCGGATGAAGGGCTGACCGGATGTGACCATCTGGACAAACCCGTGAGAATAAACCGCTGTCAGGCCCCCTGTTCCTCTGAAGGGGGTCAGCACAGGGCTCTCCCCCCTGGCGTAGGTGCTGTTTCCATGTGACGCACGGACCCCCAGGCCGCCCCACGGTTCACCCTCCACCCTGTACCCCCACCCCCCGGCCCCCAGCCCCTGGCTCTGGCCAAGGACGACAACACGTGCCTTGAAGAGGTTTGGGAAGCTCCGTTTGAGAATGTCCAGGTTCCTGCCAAACAGGGGAAGGTTGTCTCTGCAGAAGCACGTGAGCTCGAAGGCCAGCATGGGGCTGTGGAAGAACTCGGAGGGGGTCCTGGTGAGCAGGTGCCGGAGGATGGCTTCAGAGTCCACTGCGGCCGCCTCCCCTGAAAGGCACCAGCAAGGTCAGGGCCGGGGCCCCGGCAGGTGCGTCCCCACCTCTGCTGCTGGCTGGGGTCCCTCGGGGTCACGGGCCAAGCCTCCGAGGCCACACGTGTCTCCGGGACACCAGGGGCTCTGGGGTGTCCACCCCGCATGAGAAAAACCGGCTGAACTACGTTCAGTTCTTCCCGAGAGTTTCTGGTTACAGACCGATCCCTCTGAGGGACGTGATGCGGAACGTTCTTTGGAAGGTACTGGGTTCCACGGCCCCTTCCACGAAACTCTGGTGAACACTCACGGCCGGGAGTTCCGAGGTCAGCGTGAAGTCGCTACCTTTTCATTCGCTACATCGACCCGCCGAAAAAACGACACTACCTGCTGCTCACAGTCCCTCAGAGAGCGAGAAGAGACAGGCTGTCCCGGGCCGGGAACCGGAAGGTTCTCCGGGCAGCCCCCGGGAGCCCAGGCTCAAGGCGGAGGCTCACCGTGGTTCAGGAAGAACTGCGCGATGGGCAGCAGCGTCCGCACTCGGGCCGGGTCCCCGCAGAGGCGCGCGTGCAGGGCCTTCAGGCAGGACAGGGTGCGGTACAGGAAGGAGGGGTCCTGCCTGCAGAGCACGTCCAGCACCAGCACGGCCTCCACCAGGCACTGCGGGGACGTGGGGACACGGGGTGGGCTCGGGTGCAGCCGGGGAGCCCCGCGTGCCCCGCCCGTCCCGCACTTACAGCTTTCTGCAGGTCTGAGTCCCCCTTCCTCAGGGCTCCTGCAGAAGGAAGACGGTCCCCCGGTCTCTGTCAGCGTCACAACAGTGAACGAGGGGTGCACTGTCGTGGAAGCTCGAGGAGAGGGCGGGGAGCCATCCAGGAGCAGAGAGCGGCCCCCGGGGCGGACGAGACACTGGGACAGACGCCCGGGAGGGCCGGGGACAGCTTCTGTCCACTGCCCGGCTCCCCGGGGTCTACGTCTGGAACACAAAGCCCCCCGGGAAAAAGAGGCTGCCCCACGTGCCCCACGAGCAGCCTGGGACGTGGCCCCGGGACTCACGCCGGGTGCTCTGCTCCGCCAGGCGCTGACAGTACTCGAAGGCTTTCTCCCGCAGCCGCTCCCGCGGGGGCAGCAGGCGGCCGGCGGTGGAGCCGGCCGACAGCACGGACAGCGTGGAGCCCTCCAGCTCCGACCTGTCGTCTGGAAAAGACAACGAGGCACTCGAAGGGCACCCAGGCCAGCCCGTCCGGGGGCGTGACAGTCACCGGGGCCGGT